CTTCCCTCCCCACTGTTTTGCTTCCCTCATTTCCTAGGTTCTCATTGCTGGTATAAAGCACACACTTTTATTTTTGTATTTTGACTGACCCCAATTTCTTTTGATGAGTGTTAGCATAGTGTATTTTTGCTGTCCTTTCACTTTTAACATATTTGTGTCTTTAATATTTCTTGTGGCGAACCTAGAGCGGAATTTTGCTTTTTTATACTATCTAACTATATTTGCCTTTTAAATGTGATTATTTATACACCTGGGTTTAAATTCACTATCTTGCTATTTGGCTTCTTTCACATATTTTTTTAAATCTTTATTGTTGAGAGTATTACAGATGTCCCCCCTTTTTCCCTTGCCCCCACCACCCAGTTTCTATCCTGCTCTAGTCCTTCACTGCCCTATTGTCTGTGTTCATGGGCAATGCATATGTGCATGTAAGATCTTTGGTTGATCTCTTCCTGCCCCCCTCCCCCCTTCCCTCTGAGATTCATCAGTCTGTTCAATGTTTCCATGCCTCTGGTTCTATTTTATTCATCAGCCTAAACCCAGGATTATTGTTTTAAACATATTTTTATTGATTTTTTGAGAGAGAGAGGAAGGGAGAGGGAGAGAGAGATAGAAACATTGATGAGAAAGAACATTGATTGGCTGCTTCCTGCATGCCCCCTTGAGGGATGGAGCCCAACAACCTGGGCATGAGCCCTGACTGGGAACGAACCAGTGAACTCTTGGTGCATGGGACAGTACTCAACCACTAAGCCACACCGGCTGGGCTAAACCCAGGATTATATTTAATGACTTTTTCTCCCCATATCTATTCAATGATAAAATTCTGTCAATTTTTCTTTTATATAGCTCTACACTAAATTCTTTCTTTTTGTTTTTTGGGTTGTTTTTTTTTGTTAATCCTCACCAGAGGATATTTTTTCAATGATTTTTAGGGAGAGTGGAAGAGAGGGGGAAAGACAGAGAGAAACCATTGATGTGAGAAAAACACATGGTTACCTCCTGCACGAGCCCTGACCAAGGCCCGGGCTAGAGAGGAGCCTGCAACCGAGTACGTACCCTTGACCAGAATCGAACCCGGGACCCTTTGGTCCGCAGGCCAATGCTCTATCTACTGAGCCACACGGCTAAGGCACATTCTTTCTTTTTTATCTTTACTGCTTGATTACGCTTGTTCACATGTGTATCTCTTACCTATGTATTTGCCATGACTTTTTTTTATTGGTCTCCCTTTTTCCACACTTGAGTGATTTAAGATTCAAATCTGATCAAGAGTTTTCAGTGTCCGTCCAATGCCTCTACTATGTGGAGACCGCGTGAGCTGTCTAGATAAAGGTCTTACTGTTTTTATATTTTCCGTGGCCTAACCTACCTGTTTAGCCGTCTCTATCCACTCTCCCACCCAGTGTCTTACATCTCCAGCCCCTGTGCCTTTCGTTTTATAGGAAATGAGGCTTCTATGTCATGAAGTTTCCTCTGCTTCTCTTTGGTTGAATTACAAATTCCTGTAATTTTACCTTCTGTATGCCTTGCTAGCATAAATTATATATAATTGAATGTTCAGCTGTCTTTCTGTTCCTTCCTAGACTCTAAGTTAGTTCCTTGAAGTTAGAGGGGTCTTCATCTTAGATACCCAAAATGTGTTTATTGAATGAAAGAATAATAAACTGGGGCTTGTAGAGTTTGATCGATCATCATGTGATTCACAACTTCCCTTCATCATTCATCCAGTTGTATGTCATGCACACATACCTAGTCCATTCATATTTATTGTATGAGAAATACATAACAATCCCATAGGGGGTTCCAGTAGGATTGGATCTTTGTCCTCATTGACCTTGTTGATTATAATTGGTTTTTCCCAGCATCACACTTTTAAAAAAATATTGTTTTTTTATTGATTTCAGAGAGAAAGGGAGAGGGAGAGGGAGATAGAAGCAATGATGAGAGAGAGTCATTGATTGGCTGTCTCCTGCATGCCCCACAGTGGGGAGCAAGCCCACAACCTGGGCATGTGCCCTAACCGGGAATCGAACAATGACCTCCTGGTTCATAGGTCAATGCTCAACCGGGCCCAGCGTCACACTTTTTAAAGAAAGACCTGATTTATGCAACTTTGAAAAAAAACCTGTTTTTTCAGTAATTACCATTTTATGACTTAGTAGTTCTGTGCAGATGTCCATCCAATAAATACAGGAATTTTTGGTGGGACGGGGAAAGTGTTTCCAGAGAGGGCACATTATTTTTCCTCCTGCGGAAAAATATTGAGCTTAATATTAATAATTAGAATTTGCTTACAAAACACAAGATGCAGAAGAAATGTACTTCTTTTTTTCTTTTCTAAAGGAGAGGCTGAAACTTACTTATGAGCAAAAGTGTGAAATCCTGGAATCTCAATTGAGGGTTTTGAGGTAAAGTATCATCATCCATAGAAAGACATAGCAAAAGCATAATGAGCTTGAGATATATTGGAGTGTTTGCTGAAATCCCAGTTTAGTCACTATTAGAAGTGCTTGGCGCCATTTTGCTTGCGATACAAGGCATTTTCTCACATTGTTAAAGGGTAACGGGGAATAAAACGGTGAAGTCCTTTTTCAAATGTTATTTCAAATCACTGGGAACTAAATTATAAGTTTTGTTCTTTCATCAGTTGTAAGATATTTGTGTTTTCTGCTGGAAATGAGAATCACTAGCTGCTCTTACAGAAATTAAGCTTTCAAAATAGTAAAAATAAAGCACTCCAGTTGTCAAATTACATGTAAGAGATTTTTCCGTTATCTACTTTTCTTCATTTAATTTTAAAATTGCAACAATACTATAATAGTTTGAGTATTTTTGTATACATGGTGAATTTGTGTATACATAATGAGTTTTCATGTACTAGTACTTTTTGATATGTTTTCAAAAATCCCAATAAAGCCTATATATTATAGATTAATCATTATTGATTTGTTAGATATTCATTATCCAAGAATTTAAGTGCATCATTCTCTGTTTTGAGCTAGAAAGTTGTTTCTTATACAAAAAGATACCAGGAATTCTTTTTTGTGTGTTAAATATTATTTTAAATGATAGTAATGAAATATTTTCAAATCAAAGGAACTTTAAAATACTTTAATAATTTTATTTTATTTATTGAAAAACTGTTAATGATGAACTTATTTTAATAGTCCAATTTGAAATAAAATTTAAAATCTCCAGTCCACCTATTGTCTAGATACATAACTAGAGTTATACTAAGAACTAGAACACACAGCTTTCCCTGCACTGTTATTGTTCACTTATCTTTAAAAAAAAAAATTTATTGATTTCAGAAAGGAAGGGAGAGGGAGAGACAGATAGAAACATCAATGATGAGAATCATTAATCGGCTGCTTCCTGCACGCCCCACACTGGAGATAGAGCTTGCAACCCGGGCATGTGACCCAACTGGGAATCAAACTGTGATCTCCTGGTTCCTGGGTCGACGCTCAACCACTGAGCCACATCGGCCGGACTTGTTCACTTATGGTAACATGCTCCTATGCTTGCAATTCCTTATCCTTATTCATTATTTCTGCAGAGATTTTTACTTTTTCATGAAGAAATTTAATGTTTAAGAAATGGTCATATTTTTGTTTTCTTGCTTTTTATCTTTGGATTTATATTGTGTTTTGATTCTTTAGTTTTTAAAGTTTCATTTCTAACTCATTATATTTATGGTAACGTGATTTATTTGGTCTCATCCAGAATTCAAATATGGCATCTTTAATTACATTAAAACACCACCTTACACTGAACTAGACTTTGCTCCCTGAATCCTTCTGTGTTCCTTTTTAAATTTATTTTCTTTGAATAATATTTAAGGTATTAATAGAGGCATTTTCTTAAAGAAAGAAAGAAAATCGCTACTCTCAGAAACTCTGGCTTTATGGGAACTGTTTATTTTTACATTTATTTTTGGCCGTTCTGCGTAACCAGAACCACTTGAGTTTTTGAACTTGCACCTATCACAGACAGTCAGGGAGGCCCTTGTACTTCCAGATGTGCTTCCAGAGATCCTTTCATAAAGCCTCTGAAAGTCAGGCTTTCCTTCATAACAGGGAGCTTATGTTGGAGATATTATCTTCGGATTGGGCAAGACCAGCGCCATTTATTTTTGATTTCAGACATCATGAGATTAGCTTTTCCAATCTCAGATTGCCTGTGGCTCCTCCCCTTTCTTCCCCTCCCCCCGCACCCCCACCAGGCTGCCCAAAAGCCCCAGGTCCTGAGAGGTGAGGCAGCGTGCCATGGCCAGGTGTCTTAATTATCGGCTTCTCCTCTGTGACAGTGAGCAAGTGGGACAGCTATAGGTCCCTGAATATAATACAAACTGGCAACAGAAAGTAGACTAAGCCAGCCCAGCCTGTGTGGCTCAGTAGTTGGGCGTTGACCTATGAACCAGGAGGTCATGGTTCAATTCCCAGATCAAGGCACATGCCCGGGTTGTGGGCTCTATCCCCAGTGTGGGGCGTGTAGGAGGCAGCCAATCAATGATTCTCTCTCATCATTGATATTTCTGTCTTTCTCTCTCTCTTCTCTGAAATCAATAAAAATACATTTTTAAAAAAAAATAAAGTAGACAAAGCCAGAGATAAAGTGCCTGTGTTTAGCCCCCTAAGAACTTAAGGGCAACTTTCTCCTTCTTGAGCTAGGAAGTTTTTTTACACAATAGGGAAGAGACGTTTATGCCAGGAAAGCTCAGTTGCCCAAGGTGACTTTGCAAAACTAGGAGAAAAACATCATCCAAGGATAATCCCATCAGGTCAAAACAAACAGCCCCGGATTTCTCAGCCCCCCCCACCCCTTATTTAGCGAGCTTCCTATTTCCAGCTAATGCCTGCTACTTATGAAGTCTTAAGCCTGGAAGGTTCCACATAACTTCCTCCCATAGCCCACTGTCTCTCACAACTGCTCTTTGTAGAACTTTGTGGTTAGAAAACTTTTCAATGTGCAGAAACATGGACAGTGATAGGACCCATGTCCTTTATGTGATCCTGTAAAGAACTCTCCATCAAGTTTAAGAGGTTAACACTTGAAATGGGGTATTTCCCTCAGTTCAAGGATGTTGTGTTAAGTCACCCCACCCCTCTATTAGATGACACTAGTTAGAATTTGCATTTGTAGTTTTACGTTTGTTCTGTGGCAACTTTCTCCTTCTTGAGCTAGGAAGTTTTTTTACACAATAGGGAAGAGACGTTTATGCCAGGAAGCTCAGTTGCCCAAGGTGACTTTGCAAAACTAGGAGAAAAACATCACCCAAGGATAATCCCATCAGGTCAAAACAAACAGCCCCCGATTTCTCAGCCCCCCCACCCCTTATTTAGCGAGCTTCCTTTTTCCAGCTAATGCCTACTACTTATGAAATCTTAAGCCTGGCAGGTTCCACATAACTTCCTCCCATAGCCCAGTCTCTCACACCTGCTCTTTGTAGAACTTTGTGGTTAGAAAACTTTTCAATGTGCAGAAACATGGACAGTGATAGGACCCGTGTCCTTTATGTGATCCTGTAAAGAACTCTCCATCAAGTTTAAGAGGTTAACACTTGAAATGGGGTATTTCCCTCAGTTCAAGGATGTTGTGTTAAGTCACCCCACCCCTCTATTAGATGACACTAGTTAGAATTTGCATTTGTAGTTTTACGTTTGTTCTGTGGGTCATATAATGTAATAGAGTGGGATCCTGAGAAAGGAGAGTCAATATCACCCCAGACTAATTTTACAAGAACTTGGGCTAATTATTTAATATATTCAAGTCTCCTTTTATTCAGAGTACCAATTAGGATAATCACACCTCGAATCCAGGGTTGTGGTTAGAATTCATATGCAAAGCACCTCAAAGGTTCACACCCATAAATAACAGTAATAGTTATGACTCTGCTGATGCCTTGGCAAGTACTGTAGCCATTTACTGAATTCTTCTCCCCTTCTTTTTAGGAAAGACTTAGCCGAATGTCAGAAAAACTGTGAAGATCTTAAAGGGCGACTAAAGCACAAAGAGTCTGTTCTTGCTGCCCAGGCTCCTAGCCGCGTCGGTGGTCTTTGTGTGAAGTGCGCTCAGCATGAAGCTGTTCTTTCTCAGACGCATAGTCATGTCCACATGCAGACCATCGAGCGGCTGACGAAGTAAGTGTGCCTCCCCCTGCGGAGTCTTCGGTAACAGGAGCGTTGTCTTTCCAGGGGCCTCGATTCTTCTATCCCGTGCTAAATCCCTAACCTGAGGTTCATGCGAAGCTTCAGGTCAAATGGGTTTTAAAAGGGTCCGTCAGCCCTGGCTGGTGTGGCTCAGTTGGTTGGTTGTCCCAGGCACTGAGAGGTTGCTGATTCAATTCCCGGTCAGGGCACATGCCTGGGTTGAGGGCTCAATCTCCAGCAGGAAGGATATGTGTGTGTGTGTGTGTGTGTGTGTGTGTGTGTGTGTGTGCGCGCACAAGAGGCAGCTGATGGATGTTGATGTTTCTCTCTCATTGATGTTTCTCTCTTCCTTTTCCTCTCCCTTCCTAGCTAACTCTCTCAAAAATCAACAAAAACATATTTAAAATAAAATATAAGAAGAAAAGATTCCTTCATGGAGCTTTCTTGAAAACAGAATAAATGAGTTCTGCCAACTGTGGGTAACATGGACAAGTCATTTTCTCTCTCTAGGTTTCAGTCTCATTTTGAAGTGAGAAAATTGAAGTAGATGGCCTTTGCAATTCTGTTCATGTCTATGGCTCTGTAATTGCAAATCCAGCACTACTCTGGACAAAGCTGAGTTTGAGAGGAATTCTTCAATGCCGCCCTATGTTGGATTTGCCTGCTGTAGCTTAGGTGGAGTGAGTAATTATCCTGCCTTCATCACGTGCCCGTTGTGAAAAGTGTCCTGAGTGCATTGGAAGAAGGTCCCACTACGTCCCACTATTAATTAATATTCCAGGACGGACTAAGGGCAAGTTGCAGTGAGCTTTTGTGTAATCACATTTTTATCTGGGCTGAAACCCTGCAGCTCTCTGCCTGCATCTACTTTTGTTCTGTTGTCACTACTTTTCCTGTGAACATTTTATTCCTTGGAAGTTGAGCTTTATTATCTATAATAATAAAAGCATAATATGCTAATTAGACTGGACGTCCTTCCAGATATAATTCTGACCATGGAAGTATTAGAAGAAAATTTAGAAAGTATCTTTATAGCCTTGGGCAACTTTAAGTTCTCAGTAAGACATGAAGAGTGAAAGTCATGAAGGGAAAAAAGGGTACATTTGTCTTCATTCAATAAAACTTTCTTATGATACAATATTACAAATTAAGTGAAAAGACTTGGAAAGAATATTTTCATCTAATATAACAAAAAATTGGTATGATATATAAATAATTTCCTTTGAAACTAACAAAAAGGACAAATTGCCCAGTTGCAAAGTAAATAAAGAATAGCAATTGCTGCCCTAGCTGGTTTGGCTCAGTGGATAGAGCATCGGCCTGCAGACTGAAGGGTTCCAGGTTTGATTCCAGTCAAGGGCACATGCCCGGGTTGTAGGCTCGATCCCCAGTGTGGGGTGTGCAGGAGGCAGCCGATCAAAGTGGCTCTCTCACATCGATGTTTCTCTCTTTGTGTCTCTCCCCCACCCTTTAGATTTTTACTCTCTAAAAATCAATGGAAAAAATATCCTCAGGTGAGGATTAACACAAAAAAATTAAAAAGAGGCGGAACCCACTAAATAGCAAAACTCACCAACCAACAACAACAACAAAAACCCATGGGTTTTTTCCTCCATTATATTGCCTTTTACATTGTCCTTGAAGATCATGAGAAAACTATTTTAAAAGGAATCAACAATGTTTACATTGATCCCAAGCCTGGCAGTCACTTAGGAATTCGATTCTCTTCTCGCTCGGTCATATAGTCCCTTGTCTCTATTCTTACATTTCAGTGCTTCGCCTCCTAAAATAAATGTCAACCTTCTCAGTTCGGTTTTCTGCTTTGTCAGCATGTCGTGGCTCATGTTCTACTTTAATAACAGGACACAGTGGAAGGCCTCCGCTTGTGCTGTCAATGAAAATCTTTGTCTATCTGATCCCCTGGCCTCAGCTGGTGTTCAGCTTCTTTCACTTCTTCTCGAGAATTTTGAGTTTATTCTGACTTTGAAGAGTTGCCAGCTCTTGGTGGGGTGGAGTTCTGTCTTTATGCAGAACGAGAAGCATGACCCCTCCAGGAGCTGAATTTCCTGCATGACTTTAACATGACATTTAAAAAACCATATTCCACCCAGGACAGATCAGGATTCTCCTGGCCGCTGCTGGAGACGTGGTCTGGGGACAGCAGCTCTAAGCTCCTTGGTTGATCTTTTAAGCACGTAGTGAAGTGAGTGCATGACACAGGAATGACATGGGCACTTGAAAAGGAGACCAGACCACCCATGTGTTGGTGGTGTTTTGAGGGCGTTAGAGACTTTCTGGAGAGTGTACTTAGCTGCTGCTAACACTGGACTGATTTGAAACATTGACTTGAAGTCCTGGTTTCCTGAGCTTCTGCCTTTCATTATGCCACAAGGTAGGTCAGAGCGACAATAATCTCTTTTTCTTGCTCTACCATCAAAATACCTCTTCCATCAAGATGGAGCTGCTGGTATTAAGTTTCTTTCTGCTGCTCCTGCGCCTTGGAGAAGTGTCACTGCTCAGAGAGAAGTGATTGCTGTTGTACGTCCGGGACTCTTGTCCAGCTCGTGATTGGGGGGCGGGTCGTCGGCAGTGCTCCGTAAACTTGGCTTTGAAAGACCATGGCAGGGGCTTCCCAGAAATGAGGAACAGGGAAATGTTGAAGTCAGCCTTCCCGACTTGCTTTCTAAAAGCAGCGATAATACTTGTTAATGATGCTTTATAATGCTCCAAACTGGCAATAACTGTGGGCTAACTTGGCTGGGCCTTAAAGGCATTTCCTAGGCACTCCGTCGTTGAGGATGAAGCTCATATATATCTATACGTATATATCAGACCAAGTCTCTCTTCCTTATTTCACACGTTTGGCCCATGGGCTTGCTCAGTCCTGTTTGCTGAGCCCCTAAAATACCACATACTCATTAATTTGGCCCAGAACTGACCCCCATGCTCCTTCCCGCATCCTCTTTTCTTTTTTTTTAATTGATTTCAGAGAGGAAGGGAGAGGGGGAGAGAGAGAAAAACGCCCATGCCCATGATGAGAATCATTGAGCTGCCTCCTGCACACCCCACACTGGGGATCAGGCCCTCAACCCAGGCATGTGCCCTGACTGGGAATTGAACCCTGACCTCCTGGGTCATAGGTTGATGCTCAACCACTGAGCCATGCTGGCCGAGCTGAAAATTCTTTGAACCAAAGCAACTCAATCATTTATCTTCCAGTTCTTAATAGTCTGATGACTATTTAAATTTGGGTCATAAAATAGGAGAACTGAGAGGGAGTTTTATGTCACCTCTTTCGATGCCCTCCTGTGGCCAAATCATGAGTCACTCATTTGTTCTTTTGTTGTTGATTTCCTTGAGCATCTAGTGTGGCAAACCACTCAGCAGAGGATATACTGAAGAGAGGTTCAATGTATTAAGCACAAGACGCTAATCTGTTAGGTTTTGATCCTGTTGTGATGCATACAAACACTGGGCTTCTCGTTAATTCTTTCTGTTTGGAACCTTGGCCTTGATGCTGCCATGGTGCCAGGAACAGGTCAGGTTTCAGGCGAGTAGTCACTGGACTGTCAGTGGGTGTGAGACGTGCTGGCCTGAAGAGTGGCCTTTTTCTTCGTCTAGAACAGTGGTTCTCAACCTTCTGGCCCTTTAAATACAGTTCCTCATGTTGTGACTCAACCATAAAACTATTTCCGTTGCTACTTCATAACTGTAATGTTGCTACTGTTATGAATCGTAATGTAAATATCTGATATGCAGGATGGTCTTAGGTGACCCCTGTGAAAGGGTCGTTCGACCGCCAAAGGGGTCGCGACCCACAGGTTGAGAACCACTGTTGTTGAAGGATAGGCTCTCCTTGGATTGCATATTCTCAGTGAAGCCAGTCCCCGTGTGTGGTAGCGCTCATTTAAGAACGTAAATAAATATACATTCAGTTTTGCTTGCATTTAATTTAGTTATCACATAACTAGAATAATTTGCTTTGACTCCCACTTTTTCACATAATCATCGTGTTTAATTATAGTTTCTAAAAAGAAGTAACTTTTTTTTCATTTTCTTTAAAACAAAAACATTGAAGTAAATTTTATTTCTCAACTTAAACACATCAGGAAATCTAAAATAAGGTTACCATGCTCTCATGAATTTTATGGTATTTGCATCAATCTATTCTTTTTTTTAAACAAAAAGAGCTTTTATGAAACTTAATAATTGTAACTTTGTTCAGTATTACATATTTCTTAAAATATGGCTGTTTTCCAAATACCACAAATAGTTTAAATCATTTTATCTGTTAGAGATCTTTTTAAATGGAGTCACTGGTTCATTCTGAAAGCAGCTCAAACTCAGAGTTTATAATCTTTGAAATCATGACTCAAAGTTTGCTAAATTAAAAAGAAAATCACAGTTGGCTGTTTTCTGATCCTTTAGAACTTGGCAATGAAAAGGAAATTGCAAGCAATGACTTCAGCTGAACTTGAAACCACAGTTTAAAACTTGAGCTCTTTAGCAAGACACACAACACCCCAACTTACAATTTTTAACTCTGTGTGTATAGAAAGTTTCCCACCTCACTTTCTCTTTGGTCTACTGGTCATTTTAATCCAGTGGACAGATTCCAAATGTCCTGGATCCTTTTATGTGGGTTTATTTAACCCATAAGAATGGATCCACGCTGTTTCTCATGCCAGGGCACTTGGCATTCCCTTCACTTCTCTCCCGGAGAAAGAGCTTGGTTTAGGGCACTTCTGAGAACTGCCGCAGATGGGGGAGGGGAGGGGAGAGGCAATGAGGAGACCCAGTGGGATGAGATTGTGTTACCTCGTGAGTATTATATGGGTGACCAGGGCATTTGAGGGGTTCAACAGTACTTACCCATTGAAAGAAGAAAAGTGTTCATAAGGAGGTGAAAGAATGTAATTGGAAGAGGAGAGTGAAAAGGAGGCCTGGGAGGCAGATGAAAAGGAAAAGACATTGCCCGGCCAGTAGGCTCAGTGGTTGAGCGTCTGCCTATGACCTGGGAGGGCACAGTTCGATTCCCGGTCAGGGCACATGCCTGGGTGTGGGGCCTGCAGGAGGCAGCCGATCAATGATTCTCTCATCACTGATGTTTCTTTTCTATCTCTCTCCCCCTCTCCCTTCCTCTCTGAAATCAATACAAATATATTTTAAGAAAAGGGAAAGGACATATATTTGTTCAAGTAGATGAGAGAACTGGCGATGTAAGCTACCTTAGTTGTTCCTTCTTCATATGTTTGCCTCTGTTTTGGGGTATAGTCCCCAGCTTCTCTACCTTGTTGCTTTTTTCCTTTTTAAATGAATTCACCCTTTTCTGGGCCTTCATCTGCATCCCTCAGGGTGCCAGCGTCTCCACAGTGGCCCTTGTCCAGCAGATGCCGTCCAGCCCGATGTTCCCGCCTCCCCGCTGCCCTGCCAGCCCCGCGAGCGAGGACAGAGGA